ATGTGCGAGAAAGGTGCGAAGTAGAAGTGGAACCAAATGCCGTCTCCCCACGTTATTTTGGGGTGTCTTGGCACTGCGGGAAGGCCTTGACGACAGAAGACTTCCTCTTTCATAACCCTGCATATTGGCGGTTGCGTAGCGCGTTCGAACACGTTATCTAAGTGCCAAGTCCTGATTACTACTGGACTTCGTCGAAGTCTGAAAGCGGCCGAGTGGGGTGAGCCACGCGGCGGCGCGGCACTCTGCTCGTCTGGCGCTCGCTCCAGCGAGACAGTACTGGGCCTGAGTCTGAGAAGGAATGGTGAGGTTTACTGATGTGTTTCGTGATTTAGAACATCTAAGTCCTGTCACATGTTGATATGTTTGCATACTATGGATACTCTTCTTCTGAGCTGGTTTTAAGCCTTAGTGAGAGGGCCTTCTGAGCCGTTATCTCATAAAGTGCCACAATAGGCGAGCCAGAAACTCAAGAGGAGTTGTTATTTTTATTTATACATTAGTATACACATTAGTATTCGTCTATAACGCATTTTTGGTCCTAAAGAGGGTCGTTGGATTAGTTCCTTCAGCGGATGGGGTACTGGAGCGAGAGAAAGCTCCACAGTTCGTAGAAAAGGCTTTCGCTGTCATACTGCCACTTCCGCAAAACTTCGAAGAAGTGGACATCCCAGGAATCGCCTCTGAAGCCGTGTCGTCTGCGGATCCTGTCCTTCGAATAGACCACAACCCCTCAATCCGCTGAGTGTGGACTCCGGTCGCTGGATCCACAAATTTGACACTATGGTAAACCGTCTCGTGAGTGTGAGCGAGATTGGAGAAGTTATTGTAACCACTCCACATATCAGTCCGAACGGTTCCCCCTGGAGCGACGTCTGCCGGATGATTCTTTCCTGGGCGGCTGCGTCGCGCTTATCGACGATTTCAATGAAGACCACTTTCGTACCGTCCTGGATGCCACCGACGAGCCAATCCTTGCGCATGACACGATCAACGTTGTACTTGCAGCGCACAATGTTGTTTCGTCGACCTGCGCGATGGTATTCGGTCCGCCAATCTGTACAACGTTGTTCGTGTAGTGCTCGACGAGCACACCTCGGAACCATTGATTCCACTGCTGGACGGTGTGCTCGTCCACCTCTAGCGTTCGAGCCATCTCCTTTTTGAGCCTAGGTCATAGGCGAAGAGGTAGCTGATCTAAAAAGATCTTCTTCCAATCTCCACGCAAAGACTCAAAAATGTGCCCTTGAGGTATCCAACTTTCCTGTCCACTCCGGGTTGCCGGCAGGAGCGAAGAGGGCACTGTAGCTTCCATCTCCTATCTTTGCCGCTAAGGCATTTCTGCCTGGTGGCCTTCCTCAGGTTTCCATAGTTTGGACTAGGGCAATCCTTCCACAGGAATCCTCGTCCAGCGAGCCAATCGTCGAACTCCTCCTTCGTCATCGTAGCCAACTGCGGCCAAGTTGAAGCCAGTATGAAGTTGCGCAACGACAGCAGATTTGCAGCGAAATCCATGCCTTCGGATGGGAATCCTACTTAGTGCCTTACCTAAATAACCCTTCCCCATTTTTAGCCCATTACTCGCCAAACTATGGCGGAAAACCCGTGAACCTTTCCCCCAAACTCAGGCCCATTACTGTCTCGCTGGAGAGAGCGCCAGACGAGCAGAATGCCGCGCCGCCGCGTGGTCCCCCCAATCCACTTAGCACCCATTTTTGTTTTCACAGCAACACTCAAATTGGTTCAGCGGGATAACACAGACGGGATAATCGAATCGAAATGCTCATCCACTGTCTAAATGCTCGCAGCTTTCCATAGCCTGACAACGACTGTGAGATGTGAGATGTAACACTTGTAAGATTAGATGAGATTTTCTTTGAAGAAATTCACAATGCTGGCACATTCACAATGCCAACCATCACAGCAACGTGATTGAGACGTTGTCGTCTATAAGCTACCGAACGACCACGAGCTGTGCTACGAGTTCCACTACAAGAACCGTTTATCCGACTGCTTCACCGACGTTTACATCTGCTGCGAATGTCGACGTCTAAAGGCACGTAATCCTGAAGCTTACCCTTTACATGCGTGTAAAGGGTAAGCTGTGCCGTGTGGTGGTGGTAAGCCGCTACGTGTAAAGTCAGCTTTATAGCCGATCCAGCCCATCCCGCTCGCCACATTTCTGTGAGCCACGTAGTACTCCTCGTGCTACTGCGAGACACATGGTACTGGAAAGATGCAATGAGATCAGGCGTACGTCCGCAGATCTCCATAGACCACCAACGACGGGGATGAATGTAATGCTAGCAAGACTGAGGAACCGAGCTTTGGTGAGTACCGTAGTTACTAAACTTTGTAATATAGGCACCGCTAAGATGTCCTTTGTGCCCCATGCTGCCAATTGGAAAAGTAAGAATTCAGAGCTTTTCGAAAGAGAAACCGCTGTTTAGACGACTTTTCGGTTCAAAAGCGGAGAGCAATGGTGGGGCAATTTACCTTTCCCTCCGCAACCGGTCGAGAAAACTTCAGAAGGGCGAAACATCGAGCTCAAAGTTATGCCAGGAATATTAATGTACAAACTCCTGGCCAGATTGTGGGTAGCGAATGCGACTTGTTGCTGTCTCCCTTATACTTGTGATAAGGAAGATCTCGTTATAGTGCTACTGAGTCACAACTCGCAGTGCGGTATATATGGCAAAAGGTCATTAGTTATGGACGGTCATCTCTGCCGTTCATCTTTGGATTCCTTTGGAAAATCCAGAATGCCTCTAATGCTTTTCTTGCCGAAATTTACGTCTCTTGCGCTAATATCGCGCACTTAATTTCAAAATTGTTGTTATTGTGCTCCTCAGATTTATGTCTACCAAGCGGCGTCATCAAACTGCCACGCCTCATACCTGCTAGATGTTCCTTAGTTCGTACAGCCAATTGTCTTCCAATTTCTCCGATGTATGTTGATCCACGTGCCCGGCACTCTATCTGGTAAATTACGCCTATCGCCTATCAGAGCGCAATCACCTGTTCTCCCGTACGGACATATGGTACAATCATTGGTTATGCACCGCTTATCGTAGAGCCGTTTTCGAACTAACAACTGCTTGATGTTGTTATTAGGAATGTTTACTAATTGGACAACATCTTGCAGTTCAGCTCTGAAAATGCTCCGCTGTATTTCGGCGCTGACTTTATCAGAGATAAAAGGAAGACTTAATGGTAATTTACTCTAGCATTTTTCCTGCTGATATGACATTTTTCACAAACTTGTCACACCGTATAACCGTCCACAGCAGCTATCTCACAAGCTAAACGTCGCGATTCGTGTTTAGCCTCGCCCGTGCAGACACTTGTTGCTGTCCTCAACATGTTGTTAACGACTGCACGTTTGACGGCTTGTGGATGAGCTGATGTAGCGTGAGTAAAATATTCTTGGAACTAGTTTTACGGTACCGGTACGGTACGGGACATAAAACTGAGGAGCACAATAACAACAATTTTGAAATTAAGTGCACGATATTAGCGCAGGAGACGTAAATTTCGGCAAGAAAGGCATTAGAGGCATTTTGGATTTTCCAAAGAAATCCAAAGATGAACGGCAGAGATGAGCGTCCGTCCATAACTAATGATCTTTTGCCATATATACCGCACTGCGAGTTGTGACTCAGTAGCACTATAACGAGATCCTATCACAAGTATAAGGGAGACAACAATAAGTTTCATTCGCTACTGACAGTCGCCTGTGGCGACAGCGGATTTTCTCCGCGAGAGCGGTGGAACCTTGGTGAGTCGCTAGCAAAATACAGGTTTCGAGTAAATCTTCAGTTTGCAATAGGGGTCAAGACGCTTATTGGATGACGTGTAAATCACCTCGAATTACGTTTAGGCCTTTGAAGACGACGATTGCGTCGAAACGTTAGGCCGTTTGACCAAATAAAGTGTTCCACCTGAAAACCTCGTGTGGCACAAGATTATAAACATCACAAACCAGTTGGGCTACGCACGCTAATGCGTGCACCACATGCCCACCATTATCAGATGTCGTTATCACTGACCTTCTTTCCTCCACGGGTACACCATTAGTTGAGAATCCCGAATTATTGGCGGTCGGATGAGCTTTGTCGTAAATGATATCAAAACATGAAGTAATCTTGATCTTCCACCGTTGCAAAACTTGCTGGGTAGCGGTCGTAATCTATATAATAGTCGCAATCATAAACACATATATCATAATACCACAGGAGTTAAATTCAGTTGGTAAGTGCTCTTATCAGTCGTTATCAGCTGTTATCAGTTCCTATCATCGATCGTCTACGATCCCGCCATACTCCACAACACATGCCAAACTGTCAA